AGGGAAACCCAACTGGGAGCTCCTACCCAAGGCATGGGCTGCTCTGGCTGGGGACACCACGTCGTCCTGGGATTGTCCATCGGTCACGAGCACCAGGATGTGAGGAAAGCCCGGCCTCATCCCTCTGGAGGGTTGGAATAATTCCTTCAGCACGTAGGAAATGGCATGGCCTGAGCAGACAGGGAGAGACAGGGTGGGAGTCTGGGTTAATTCCACAGGTTTGGACGCTGGATCTCCTTCCATGGGTGGAAGGTGAAGGGAATTCCTCAAAAGTGGAAAGCCCTGGAAAGTGGGACAACGTCTTTTGGAGGATAACAGCAGGAAATCAGCTTGGCTGGAATGGTTCTGGTGGAATCAGCAGATAGTTTTGGAAAAGGGGAGCCAAAATATTCAGAAATTTGAATTCACTTTTCCTACGCTTCTGGAATAAAATCCACAGAATTCCCATTTCCAAATGTCTTTGGAATGACCAAGAAAGTTCCACAAAGAAATCTCCCACAGATTGAAATGGTCAAGAAGCTCCAAAACACTGTGGAAAGATTCCTACATGGAGTAAAATGTCCTTATTGACACAAACTCCATAAAAAGAATTTAAAAAGGCAAAGTTAGCCAGGAATTCCCAGCCTGACCAATTCCATGCCTTCTCTCCCTAAGTAATCCCATGAAAATTCCTGAATTTTGACTTTTCCTGGTTTTTTGTGCTCTTGTCCAATACCACTGAGGCAAGATGAGGGATTTGGGTGCCTCAAATGCAAAAAAATTAATTGAAAAATCACAAAACCACAGAATATTCCAAGCTGGAAAGGATCCACAAGGATCATCGAGTCCAATTCCTGAATGGTCCATAGGGGGACCAAATCTTGGAGTTACTGGCACCAGCTTCCAACCAACTGAGCTAAAAGTTTAAATAAAAATTACCCATCTTTAATTTACCATTCCTGGTTGTGTTCCTCCAGGGAACCAGGTATTCCCAGTGTTCAGGTGGGAATGTGTCTTCTCTTTGAGTTTTTTTAAATGAGCCAAAATATCTGGATTTCAGGGATGCAGGAATGCTTCACATCAGCCATCCTCATGTTTATGGTGTAAACACCTCCCTCAGGTGCAGGCAAAATCATAAAATAATGAAGAAAACCCAGGGGAAAAAACAGGATATGGATAAAGCACTAAGTGGTTGGAAAAACCACTCCCAAAAATCCAATTTAATCCGTTCTTAAATTTAAACCAACTTTAAGCACAACGTTCCCACCAAGGAAATGGCTCCAAACCACTTGGAGGAATGTTTTTCTTGGCTTCCAGGTTCTGTCCTGGGCCGGAAGGACCATCCCAGGTGTCCAGGTCCCTTTCCCAGACCTGTTTTGGTGTTGCCTCCGGCGTAGCTCAGCCCCCTGATGGCCCCGAGGGCTCCGTTGCGGTCGCGGTGTTGGCTGAAGTGAAAAGCTGCCCTGGGCTCCTCGCTGTACTGAGCCACAGCNAGGGAAACCCAATGGGGCAACCTCAACTCTCTGGAAATTTATGGAAAACCAAGGGAAACACAATGGGGCAACCTCAGTTCTCTGGAAATTCATGGAGAACTGAGGGAAACCCAATTGGGCAAACTCAACCCTCTGGAAATTCATGGAGAACTATGGAAACAAAATGGGGTAACATCAAACCCCTGGAAATTCATGGAGAACCAAGGGAAACACAACAGGGTAACCTCAACCCTCTGGAAATTCATGGAGGACCAAGGGAAACACAATGGGACAACCTCAACCCCCTGGAAATTCATGGAGAACCAAGGGAAACACAACAGGGTAACCCTCAACCCCCTGGAAATTCACGGAGAACTTTCACTAAATTCACAAAAACACGGGAAACCCAACTGGGTAACCTCAAACACCTGGAAATTCATGGAGTACCAAGGGAAACACAGTGAGGTAACATCAACCCCCTGGAAATTCATGGAGAATCAGGGAAACACAATGGGGCAACCTCAAACCCCTGGAAATTCATGGAGAGCTGAGGGAAACAAAATATGGCAACCTCAATCCTCTGGAAATTCATGGAGAGCCAAGAGAAAAAATGGGGCAACATCAATCCTCTAGAAATTCATGGAGAACTATGGAAAAAAAATGGGGCAACATCAACCCTCTGGAAATTCATGGAGAACTGAGGGAAACACAACAGGGTGACCTCAAACCCCTGGAAATTCGTAGAAAACCATGGAAACAAAGTGGGGTAACATCAAGCCTCTGGAAATTCATGGAGGACTAAGGGAAACCCAACTGGGTAACCTCAAACACCTGAAAATTCATGGAGTACCAAGAGAAACCCAATGGGACAACCTCAACCCCCTGGAAATTCATGGAGAATCAGGGAAACACAATGAGGTAGCATCAACCCTCTGGAAATTCATGGAGAACCATGGAAACAAAATGGGGTAACATCAAACCCCTGGAAATTCATGGAGAACCAAGGGAAACACAANAGGAATTCCTGGCTGGGAGGGTGGAGAGGCCCTGGAATGGAATTCCCAGAGAAGTTGTGGCTGTCCCACCCCTGGAAGTGCCCAACCAGGCTGGACAGAGTAATCTGGGATAGTGGAAGGTGTTGAGGTTGGAACTGGATGATCTTTCAAGTCCCTTCCAACCCAAACCATTCCATGACTCCATGATATTAATTAATTAAATTTAATTTATATTATGAATAATTAATATTATTTATCCAAGTGGATCATGCTGTGGGGCCATCCCCTTAAGAGCTGGGCTCCATGATCCAAGTGGGTCCCTTCCAATGAGAAAATTCCGTGACTCACCCGCTCCCCTTTCTCTCCCTTTGCAGTGTAGGGGTCATAATCCTTGTGAGCTGCTGAGCCCCTGGGGATCTTCCATGGAAAAGAGAAAACAAAAAATTATCAGGGAATTAATGTCCAGCAAAGGATGGCAAATAAACCAGAGTGACCATGAAACACAGACCGAAACATTCCTTGGTTTAGGCAAAAACGAAAGGGAAAAGCAAAGTTGAGACCGTCCTGGAGAATTCTCAGATATTTAAAGTCTATTCCTATGAATTCATAATGTGAATTTTTAACATTTCTAAGTATTCTGCAGTGGCTTTATCCACCAAAACATTCCCAGCTCTATCCTGGCATCCCCAGTTCCACTCCTTGGATTTCAAAGGTTTCTTCAGGGCTGAACAGTGAGGTCAGGATGGGACACAGTGTCCTGAATCCGCTCTGAAACTTCCCTCAGGGAAGAAGATTTTCCTTGTGCCTGACCCACTCCAAGCTGGATTTACTCCCTGGAGTAGGAACTCACCTTTCCCAGTGGGATTTGGGTCCCTGGAAGCTGAGGATCAGAACAAATGGCTTCTATGAGCTCTTGGAGGATTTGGGGGAAATCATCGAAGGTGCTGACGTAGAAAAGGTTCTGGGGGTTCTGCTGCAGCAAAATCCTGTGGAGCTCCATGGGGTCAGCTCCCGACACCCCCACCGCAAGGACACGGAGCCCTGGAATGACATGGATCCCACCACCACCAATCCTTGGGATCAGGGTTTCCAAACCCCTTCCTGGTAAAAAAACCTCAGGAGGGATCAGGTGGAGCCCACGGAGAAGTCACCTGGAGCTGGGTGTGAGTTACAGCAAACCAAGACAAGGTGGGGAGAGAAAAGAGAAAGGAGGAAGGAGGGAAGGAGCCAAGAGTGCCCTCAAAGTGACTCCTCACAAAGTGCACCTCCCTCAACCNTTTATTCTGGAGCTCTGCCCAGCCTCTGTCCTAGCTCAGATTCTCAACCCATCAGTGGCACATCCCAGAATTTTGCTGCAGACTCACCTTGATGGAGATTCCTGGTGGCCCTGGAGAACCTGGTGGTCCTGGAACCCCAGGAACCCCCGGCTGCCCCTTCTGTCCCTGCAACAAGGAAAAACGGGAGAGGGAGGGATTTGGGATCTCTCCCAGCCCTTGGGAAGCTGAAGGCTCCCCCACACCCAGGGTTTGATACTCACAGGAGGGCCAGGCTGCCCATTCCGGCCAGGAATCACCTCCACGCCTCCCAGGACATAGCCGGGCTCTCCCTGTGGATAAAGGCACCTTGGGACATCCAGGAGCAGACCATGTGATTTAGGGGCAATGCCATCAACCCAAAGCACCTGGTACCCAAAACCACATGGCCACGACCTGAGTTTTGTTTGCTGGCATGGAAAAAAAATTAATCCCAAAGGAAAAATGGAAGTTGGCTTTTAGCAGGATCCGTTCCTGATCTCCATCTGCACAGACAGCTCAGGGGGATGCAAGGAAAGAGGAGGAATGGAGATTGGGAGAGGGGCAGGAAGCTCCTCCCGGGATCTGCCCCCAGATTATTATTATTAATTATTATTATTAATTATTGAAATATTTTAGTGTCCTAAATGGATTGTTAATAATGGAAACTCGGGTTTGTTCGTTTGTTAATAATGGTTTGTTAATAATGGAAATGGTTAATAATGGAAATGGTTAATAATGGTTTGTTAATAATGGAAACTCGGGTTTGTTAGTTTGTTAATAATGGTTTGTTAATAATGGAAATGGTTAATAATGGTTCGTTAATAATGGAAACTCAGAAAGGCACAATGACCCCACCTTCTTCTGCAATTAACTAACTAATTAATTGTGCCCAGAACCTGGGATTAGGATTGAGCACTTTTCTCCATGAAGACATAAAATTCCTGAGGGAAACTGCTCAGAGATGAAGTCTGGCAGTGTAGGATTAGGTAGACACAGCTTAAAAATTCACATTTGCCAAAGACCCCGGTGAAAATGCTTGGAAAAGAGAGGTCACAACAAATGAAACGAATTTTCATTTCACACATTTCATTTCATGTCACACACACAAAGAAAGGAATTTTTCCCAGTGAAAACCAGGAATGGAACTCACTCTGTCTCCTTTCGGCCCTGCAGGGCCTGGATAGCCTGGAGATCCCTGGAATTAAAAATAAATTCTGCAGTGTTAAACAGAAAACCAGCCCCAAGACCACGGGTGCTGATCCTTGGCAGTGTCCAAGGCCAGGCTGGAGAGGGCTTGGAGCACTCTGGGATAGTGGGAAGTGTCCCTGCCTTTGGAATGGGATGAATTTTAAGGCCCCTTCCAACCCAAACCAACCCGGGATCCCAAATACTCACAACGTCACCTTGGCTGCCAGGGAGCCCCTGCAAAACAGGACAGGGGGATACTGGTCACTTTTCCC